CCCCACCCCGCCAACTCCCGTGCCGGGCCCTTCTGCTGCCATCCTGCCCGCCGGGCGCCGCCTAACGGCCGCCATGTCAGGCCACCCCGGCCCTTGGGCCCGTTGCAGCTGCTGGCGTGATGGTGGGCAGAGATGGCACTGGGGTATCTCACCAGCGGAGCTGTCGGTGGAGTTGTTTGTAGTGTTAGGCGGTACATACGAACTTTTATTTAGCAAAAAAGAGATTTCCACCCAAGGAACTCACACCTGCTTGCTCTCATTATGAGTAACTACCGCAAGCTGCAGCTTCCCAGAGGGAAACCAGGCAGGTTTGCAGGTGGTGTGCGGGCCCCATCGTCACTGCTGGCTGGGTACTGCTGTCCTCTACAGTTCTTTGGACCTCATTCAGGACATGTAAGCCATCCCGCTTGTATCAGTTACCTCTCTAGAATGACAAGCAAACCGCTAGTAGAGATGCCAGATAAATGGTGGCACTGGCTTACTGACGTATCACTGTCCCCAAACATTCAGAAGCCTAAAACCCATGCAAATAATTTTGTAACAGTGGGATGAAGTCGTAATAATAAAATTTTTAAGCTCTTTGTGTAGAGGTTATATAAACCTGTGGTTTTCAGGTTCTTAGGCTTCACATTTTCCCAGCTTTTTTTTGTAGTTAGGGGTTGCTTCTTTTACTTTTTGGATTTGGCAAAAGACAATATAACTCCTTAAACCTTGGAGAATGGGTTTGAAAGAATCATCAGACACCACCAGGTAATTTCACAAGCACTGGCAACACTATCATTGTGTGAACCTGGGCAACTCATGTAACTATTCTGTACTTTGTTTTTATCTTTTGCAGGTTGGAGATAATACTCATGGGGTTTTCTAAGTCTTTCTGATGTGATAAAAAGTGCTCAATAGCACTATGAACATTAGTATTATTTCATATTCTGAGTACATTTCACTTCATCCAATCTGTATGTCTTAAAGAAGCTTTTTTTCACACAGTGCCATCCCAGATTCCTGATTTTTTTGTTACTAGTGAGGGAAAACCATGTGAAGTGCCTAGGAAAGGTTAGATCAAACAGACAGTTCAAAAAATTTCATCCCTGCAAATGCTCTTAATTGCAAGAGGGCAAAGGGCCCTTATTTATTACATTTATGGCCTGCCTGGATCAAGTGTGGGATCTGTGTGATGCACCGGGATTTATCTGTGTTTGCTGCCGTAAAGGAGATAATGCCTGTAGCTGTGCACCTATAGCAAAATGAGCTCTCCAGGAGAAAAACTACATTCTGACATTAAGAATGGGCAAACTTAGCACACACAGTGGAGGGGCAGTCACCAAGAGCAGAAAGAACAGAAGGGTAGTCACTAGCTACCCTTCATGCGAAGTGCAGTGATGTGGTGAAAGGGACACTCTGCTAACACCAGAACAATGTGTTGTTTTTGTCACAGAGACAGGGTAAGGTTGTGACTGTGATTGTACAGTTTGTTCCTTTTTAGCAAAACAGAGAGGACAACTGCTGAAGTGGGAAGATGGAAAACTACCCAGAATACTAGTTTTTAAAATACAACGTTGCTTAAAGTATTTTACAGAAATCTGGACACTGGTGAAACTGGTTTTGAGTCTGGTCTATTTAGGTTCCCATATTGGTCTTACCACCAAAGTATACAAATGCCCTCTCGTAATGCATTATTCAATGTGACTCAATTCTGCCAGACATCATTTGCCATCCCACCAAATTCTTTTTCAGCCCACAGAAGTGAAATAATACGTCGCTTGCAAGGATACTGAACAATAAGAAGGCTGAGTCTGCAAGGTCTTTGAAGAGAAACCATAGAAAGTGTGTATTGTTTTTCCCAAATTTCCTACAGTTCTCTGGAGAGAGCAATGCAGGGACAATGCTGTGCATTCTGCCCTACCTAAAACTCTTTTTGAAACTGGTATCTCCCAGGATGTTGTCTTCTCTGCATGCTTTCATCCAACTCCTTCTATTTGGGTAGAGCGAAGTTTTCTGCAAAAACTAGCTCAGTACGTCACACCAGGAAGTGAGTCATGGATGTTGTCTTCACACCACAGTCCCTCCAGAAGAAGCACTTAAGACAATCTTTTTTGTTGGAAAATCAACTTCAGCCTCCCTGGCTGCAAGTGAGAAAGTGCATGTTAGGGGAAGAAACACTTTCAGTGTGTGGGAGTTTATAATGAGATAACTGTCTAGGTCTGGCTTGTTGTAAATGTAACTGCGGTTTCAAGGTTTCCCTACATTAACTGTAGTGAAAAAAATTAAGACATAGATGTTAAAAATGCTCATACACCTTGAGTCAAATTTTACAGGAGGAAGCTACAATGGTTTGTAGCAATTACTAATATATACACACTGTACTTTAGAAATAGAGCAGTAGGTGGCACTGATGGTATTAACATGAGTTCTCCAGTGTCTGTATTGTTTTGTTTAACCAAAAGGCTGTTTTATCCCTCTCACTAAATCCTAGTTTATGACAAACCTTAGTTTTATGAAGCCCGTGGAAACAGAATCACAACACAATCAGCAAAACGGGGGATCTCCATCTGGAAGAAAAGCCCTTGCCTCAGGCTGAGAGACACCGGGAAGAGAGGAGAAGAGCAAAGACAGTATCCTTAATAAAATGAGCTCTTAGTACTCAGCAGTGTGGGCTGCCAAGGCTAGAGCAACCCTGTCGTGGCTTAACCTCAGCTGGCAAATAAGCA